GCGTCTATGAGGCCGAGCTCGCCCTTTGTAGAGGACATCTTCCACAACCAATTCGTAGGTAGACACTTGTGCGATTTGGAGCTGTGATGAATGTCAGGTTGTCCCAGAAGGAACGTATGAGCGTATTGCAACAGGAGAAATCCGTAAGAGTATCCACGTTTTTCGATATGCTCTCGATGAGGCTATTGGGGATTGTAGTTCCCTGGCTGTATTGTTAGGTGCGAAGCAGGCCACTATCGAGGAGTTCACCAAAGAGGGCATCCTGCTCAGCACTGGGGAGCAAATTGCATGCGATGCAGTCGTACTCGGTAGGCCAGTCTTGCAGTACGCCAATCTCGGCCACTGAGACTATGCGTTATACAGGCACCGGCTTTGAAGCGGCAATGGAGATCTTGCCTGTAGAATGCAGGAATAGTCTGATCTGTGATAACGGAGAGGGTCCATGGCTGTATCGTCATATTGTAAGTACCCTAGCACCCGAATGGTGTACTCTATCGTAGGCTAGGTCCACCCAGAGTATATGCATCTAGGCTTCGTTGGCTGGGCTTCTACTAACATCAGTATCAGTAAGTAGAGGCACGGCACGGCATGTTGATCGCCTTTATAGTGTTCCCCAGTCGACGTATTATTCGAGCATGCAGGTACTTCTACTCTGCAAGCCCTTTGGCTAGCTGGATTCTGGAGGGGTAGAATCTCCCCGTCAATGCAAGGTGAGCAGTCGGCATCTAGATGAATGCAGCGGCAGAGTGGACCTGTACAGATATGAAGTGCGACATTGCGAAGTACCGTAAGTGGGCGCTCGAGCATATCCCTCCAACACCGCAGCGGCCCTGCACTACGTTCCTCTACATAGATCTATATCACGATCAACTAGTAATGCATACGAGTTATCTACAGCTTACTGACAACTCGTTGTGTCAGGTCGAGGACTTGGGAGTCAGCAAGTACCTCCACGGTGGTATTTTTGATGACTTCAAACTCTATTACCCGGCTACGTACCGCCCCTTGGTGAGCTTGTTGGGAAATAAGCGTCTCAGCTGTGTTTTTTTTAAAGGTTCATCAGCTCTCTCTCAATCGGTAGAGTGAGGAGTACAAGTATTTCTATGAGCTGTGTTGTTAGTAACAGCACACCTTAGTAACAGTAACAGTCTGCTACCCTCTATCTATCTCAACTTTATAATGTCTTCGACTTTGTAACTACATCACGTCTATCGATCATGCTTCTCTGATCTGCTTCCTCTTTCACTGTCTGATTGTGTTGAGATGTCAATACGGTTCGAGTACGACCGAGTGGGTTTCATAGTGGCATAGGAGGCAACCTCGGCTGAGGTGCTTGTCGTTGTCTTTAGAAGTATATGTGATAACTCTTACACGATCAGCAAGATGACGGTCTATATATTCTGTGGAAGCTCGCATTTCTTCAATGTTGCTGAATTGCACTACTAAGCGCTGCCCCGCCGTCCAACACAACGTCATCAGTATCTTTGATTCTCTCGGCGCTGACTTGGACCGATCGGTGAGCAGTGAGTTTACTTACATGGTCGACTTATGACTTTCTGAACGCATCCTTCGGGAGGTCAAGACACATGTTGGTGGCAATATGAAAATTCTGGCAGAATTTTGAAAAATTCTCATCGCTTTCTTTACACTTCTACCCGGACTTATATGTTACTTCTACGATTAGTTGATCTCAGCTGAGGGAAGCGGACATATATTTCAACACTGGCTCAGTAAATGTTCATAGGTTGTTGCAGAGGAGAACTCCTCGAGAAGAACTGTGATTGATTGCGGATTCAATTTGGATGGTTTAACCAAAAAGCAACACATGACAATCGGCCGAAGCAACCCCGTCATTCGACGCGCCGTAAGTGTATGAGCTCTATCACTCCACCATGGGCCGGAAAGTCTCTTAGTCCTGTCTCAGGTGGCTAGATGGAAAAAGAAGGTTCAACAACAAAGTCAACCATGTGCTGAGCCCATACAAGAAGCCTCGTGCGACGTGTCGTAACTGTATTAACAGCATATTCCAAGAAAAGCCACAATTGGTCGTGTGACATCTCAAAGACTTTCAATTTGACCTGTTGAGTATTTTCTGCCCCTGTCTGTGCTGGTGATTGAAGTACCTCCGTTATAGCCGAACATATTTCTCGATCTGTGCTCTTGCTCAGTTTTGACTTTCCTTCTTAGCTGTTTTGTATTCTCTAATGCTGCAGAGTGATTCCTCAGGTGGAAGCCCTCGGGTGAGTTCATATATCATGATTCGACTGTAGAATTCATAGGGGAGCTCTGATATAAGAAAACTAAGGAGAGGAGGGATTTTTTATCAATTCTTTTTCAGGCAGATGACGTGATCATCCCGTCTGAGGTCAAAGCTTCTGAAGAAACAGCTTTGCTTCTGTTAAAGGTGACGACGCTGGTCTGTTGTTTTTAGGCAGTAGTGGAATAAATGTGCGCTTTTCTCAGCTGAGCTCAAGAGTTTCCTTGCTAGTTATCAAAGTTTACGTATCAGTTCGGTAAAAGAACAAAAAAATCAATAAGAATTTCCCGTGATTTTCTCACAATTTTCATATTGTCACCAACAATGTGCTCCTTCTCCCATACTGCTTTCAGGACCTGTTGGTGGACACCATTGCGCAATATCCCCTTCACGAGAGTATGCCGGATGTGTTTGGCCTCATGCGACTGCTCATGTTCCTAAGAGTAGCTAAAAATGATGCTCACATAGCAGCGAAGCGATTCAAGTATCACTGGATGGACTTTCCGGTCGACCTGAAAGTCTTCGTCTCCTCAGAGAATTCCTCGCTTGGCGGCAGATGAGGAAAGTAGATGAAATCAGGAAGAACATTCTCGAGAAAAAGTTGACTTTCGATGACATTCCGCACATCGACAAGGTCGCTCTTTGGGAATCCGCTCGCGAACCTTCTCACATCTGCAGTGTTGATCATTCATACGAGAGTTCAGTCTACCGTATTAGGTCACTTATTATCTCCCTTTTAATCCGTGCCTAAGAGATGCTGTTGGTGAACCCTTGCGTGCTAAGGACGGCTCCTTCATTTACTGTGAAAGGCTGGGAATGATCGAGACCAACGGTTTCATCGCCGAAGTAGGTGGTTGTGGTGGCAAACCCTGCCTCTCGGATGCTGGTGTTCTCACAGGTCAGTGATGATGAATTCATGGAAATGTTCATTTATCTCAGCGAGCTCGGGCAGCTCCTCATCCACGACGTTTACGAGCGTCGGTGATAAGACTTTGACTACGTTATGGACCTTTGCAGCAGGCACGAAGGAGCTGTCTTCCTTCATTCTGGTCATAGACGTTGGTGGAGCACCTACGGCCTCCTGGGCTAACCCGAAGCTCTGCAAAGCTGTTGTGAATAGGATGGGGTCCGCGGGGAAGTTGCGGGAGAGCTACTACCCTGGTCAGGTGGTCCTCGGCATCTCCATTGCAGTGCGCGAGATTTCCGTCAGGTCAGTAAAGTGTGCTTCCTGAATGCCCCATGGATATTCGATACATTCTTCAAGTTGCTGAGGTCCTTCCTATCTAAAGCCAGTCTATCAAAGGTGATGACCACTCGGCAGTGCTACCGAAGGACTTATGTACCTTCAGTTGAGTGCTGAGCACCTGTTTGCAGGTGACTATATGTCGTCCCGGAGAGCAGACAATTATGTCATTGGTTGACCCGATGAATATCCCTGCGTTCTTGGGGGGTTCTTGTGAGAGTCCACTGGGCCAGGTGCCGGAGACTGGTCGCCTGCTCAACGACAGATTCGGCTTGGGAACAGGAGGAGCAGTGGAGGTGGCCTTGTTCATATCCTGCCGAGCACATGCTACAGTCATTTCAGACTGTAACTATCGCCAAGGGTGAGAGCCTCCGGATCCCCCTGACCGCTGTGAAGAAGGGCGACGTCGTCTCCTGGGCGTTCGGCGTTGAGGCACAGGAGATACTCTTCGGAGTAGAGATACAGACACTGAAAGATGGCGAGATGACTTCCGAGTAAGCTCAACAGAGTTCGCAGTTGTTATCAGCATATAACACAGATTCGCCGTCCCGCTGGAGAAGTGCAGCAGCCAGAAGAGTGTTAGAGGGCAGTATACTAGTCCGGCTGATGGGCGAGTGAGTTGTGGCACCAATCACCACTACATTTGATTATTCAGCTTGTGCTCGTATTCGATAATACAGCCTCTTGGCTGCGCTCGAGGACGGTGCATTACCGGTGTGTGGACGTACCTACTGAGTGCACCTCGGATCTGTTGGAGTAGGTACGAGATCGTGTCATCACAAGAGGCAGCCAAACTTGGTGCGGAGGTGGCATCTCTGGAGACTTCATAGCGTATTTGACTAAAGCACTGATATCATGGCAATCTGTTGCGCCTCAATTCTGGAGGGTTTACCTGTGCAACGCTCGTAGTTCACACTGATGAGGTTATGACCGCATTGCGTCGCGCCTGAGTGGAAACAACGGGTCATTGGACGAGTACTCGACGATTAACAGTGAATGGATGACAGCGGCACTGAGTGGGATCCATGGGTGTTCGACAAGTTGTGGTACTCAGGAATAGGTCTACTGGCCCAGCAAATGGCTAAGGCTTCAGCCACGTACATCGATATCTGCTGTGTTACAGTGAGCCTCTTCTCGCCTGCTTGTGGGAGCAGCAAGTATTCAGAATCGCTCGTCACCTTCTGCTACCGCCGCCAGGCCTGACTGCTCGGACGACTATAATATATGTCAGCTGCGTTTTCCCCACAGTTTTTATACTAATTAGTAGTGTTCGCCTATTCATACCTATTGGTGTTGTAAATGTAAATTCGAGGCTGGTGACATTGGCCCTACTTGAGCAGTATTGTCCGCAGCTTCTTCGTCAGCCCTTAGTTGCTGCGACAATGACGACCCACGTAGTAGCGTCTGACGAAGCCTCCAAACTGCCAGACCTCAGCGAGCCTCACACTTGGCGGCTCTCAATTGAGCTCAAGTCGCTGACACTCTCTGCACAAGCGGCCATGGCCTTCGCTAGATATCACTTGCCGTCACCACTGGCAAGCCTCTTCAATCCAAGCTTGTGCGTGTTTACTACTCATCCAGCGGTTACGTGTCGGAGGAATACCAACACGCATTTGCCCAATGCCTTTCGAGCGTATACGCTACCAGCCCTCAGTGCTGGCAGTTTGAAGGAAGGCATGCTGCAGGGGGTGGTCCTGAATATCGAGATATGTCACAAGGACAAGTTCAGGAGTGACGAGGTCATCGCCACAACGAGCGTCCATCTTGAAGAGGTGAGCTGCCGGGCGGATGGAGGTTGGATGCTTCGTTACTGTGATTCAGGTACTCGACGCGCCTCTGAGTGATGACAGCGGTTGCCGATGCCTTTCGATGGATCTGCCACTGGTCGCCAGTCCCAACAATCAGTCAGTGACGGGCCCTACCAGGCAGTGCGGCAGGATACAGGCTGTGATCTATCTTGAAGACCTGGGTGGAGAGAAAGCTCCTCGTGTTCAACCCTATGCTACTGCTATGGACAATAGTGAGCTCCTCTGATCACTCCTGTGATGATGGCGGTTTGTCAGTTACTGACCTTTCGATGATCGAACCCTTCGAGACTAGTCGGCATCAGCAGCAGCATCACTCGACGCTCTCTACTGATTCGACGGGGAATCTCCGACCGGAATATATCTGTGCTGTTGAATTAGAAACTTGGAAGAAAAATGAGGAAGCTAAGTTCCGAGTGTGGCTCAAGGATCAGGAGGCGGCTCGCATGAAAACTCTGAATGCGTAGTAGTAGTAGTAGTAGTAGTAGTAGTGCCTCTTCTCTTCGAATGACCTCTCATGCGATAATAGATATACTGCGAAAGAGGCGACCCGGCAACGCGAATTTGCCGATAAGATGAAGTCTTTGGCTACCTTGGAGGCAAAATTAAAGAAGAAGGCTACCGAGTTGGAGCAGCGGGAGGTGAAGTTCTCTGCTTGTCTCCTCAGACTGATGCCGCAAATCTCGCTTGCAATCAGGTCCGCATTCTGGCGGCTGAAGAAGGTGTTGCGAAAGAGAAGGAGGGGGTGGCCACGACACTGCGACGTCGTGATGAGGAACATGCATGTACCGACGGCAAGCATCCACTGGCATCTTGAAAACCCTTCGGTACTCGTTAACGTCCGCTTTCCACGGGAGATCATCTCATTGCGATACGATTATAATGAGCGCTCTTTAATATAGAGTAGCTTGTATTATCCTTTCGCTGATGGCTGGGTGCTTAGCGAATATATAAGGTTGTCACATCTGAGAGGGGTTTTGTCGAGGAGTCGCTGTTAATATCTTAGTTGCACAGAAACGGCTGGTGACGGATCACGAGCACGCGTTGCGGCTGCAAGCGGAGAAGACGAAGATTGCGAGTAAGCGGGCGTTCGAGGCAGAAGAGCGTGTCAAGGAGCTCCAGTTGAAGGTTAAAGAGGCAGAAGAGAGTGCCAACAAGGTAGCGTGATCGGCCTGCATAGGTATGACCTCTGACTGATCTTACAGGCACATGCCACCTTGCAGTCATCTAACATGGTGCAACTCCAAGCTGATGTGAAAGTCCTGAAGCATCAGTTGGAGCAAGCTGCGCATCGCGAGCTTCTCCTGGCCAAGTCACGTGACCACTTTAGAGCAGCAGTGCGCCAGCTCTGCAAGCAGCTAGACAAACAGAATATTGAGGTTAGTCTGCTGGTCTCGAATCAATGTAGACATGAGTGATTAATGCGCAATTTAAGTTGAGCCCAACTGAAATCAGATTGACACCATCCACTAGTACGGAGATCGAATGGTTGAGTAGCGTATATAAGGTTAGAGTAGACAGTCAACACACGAGCAATATTCGTTCTCATATCAGTGGTAGCAAGGAGTACTGGCCTTCACAGGTCGAGGATGTATCGGGCTCCGATTCGGAGTCCGACGGTGAGAGTCCGTCTCCAGCAGACGAATCAGAGCGGATACGGCGACTTGAAGCTCAAAAGCGAAGCCTGTTAGATACCGGCGTTTATGAAGCAAAGGATGCTACCATTCAAGCGCTGAATGATCAAATTGCACGAGCCAGAGACTGGCGCACTTAGTGTTCCATGATCAACACTGAGGGTTTCACTCGGGTTCAAAGTCGTACTTTGTGTTAATGTGGCGAGGAAAAATATACGGGAACCACACGTGTAACTCCATCGTGAGAGAATGTAGGAGTTCGATCTTCCGCGCCAGATCAGACGATATTGCTAAAACAACTAGCCGAGTGGGCTTAATGAATATTTGCAAGCAACGATCAAATTTGTCTGTCGTAACAACTACTTGATTGACTAAAACATGTCATGAGTTTACCAGGAAACTCTACCTATCATGTTAGCTGATCCGAAGCCGTGAAATCTGTGGGACCGCGGTATTCATTTTTCGTAGTCCGTGTAGAGCTTACTCTCGGACAAATTGTCTGGATAAAAATTTCAATGATGAAATCATTGAGGGACCGATCCCGGCTCATGCAAGTTCGTTGTCGAAAGCCGCAACTTTTCGAATGTAGGATAAATCCGATCAATTGACTTGTCTGATTCTGCTACTTTCAAAGTCCTTGCGTTTCCCACAGACTTCCACATGCACAAACTCTGGCTCAACTAAAGTCGGGGGTAATGAACCAATCTTTAACCGTGCATCATCATTTGAATTGACTATAAGATCTTAATGAGCTTCAGCGGCCTACTTGCCAATCTAACACGAACTCGTGCCAAATGCTCAGGTGAGACAACAACACGTACGACAGCCTTCGCGCGGTCCACCTTCTCGCCAACCATCGGGCCTACTTCCTCCACGAGCTTCGAGTGTGCCTCTCGAATACGCTCAACCTGCAGGAAACTAGTGAATAGCAATTCCCCTTATAATAACATGATACCTGGAGCTTCTTGACAAACAGAATGGCTTCCTTGACCGTCATATCCTTTATTTGATCATAGACTTCAGCAATGAGAGGATCGTGCTCTGAGGAATTGGCAACCTACAGAAGATGTGTCGCAGCGTTTCAAACGAGTTGCCCAACAATATCAATATGCGATCGAGTGAGCGGGTCTTACCATTGGGGCAAGAAAATATGCTGACAGAGAAGGCAGCAAAAGAAGACCACCCAAACACGAACTAAACAGCAAAAGGGAAAATGTCAAAATCAGTCAGTCATCGTACTCGCTGCACCCTAAAACTGGCTGCAAGAAAATTGCTCAATTCTGAATTATATTTCAACAAATACAACTCTTCACGAGGCAACATAGGATTAATCTCCGATGGACCCAATGGTGAACTCGAGCAGAAAATTATCGTCTGTGTCTGTGCTACAACAGAGCTCGAATGTCTTAGCACTTGTCCACAGTGAGAAGTCATCAGACTCCTCAACTGAGGCAAATCTAGCTGCGTCAATCAGCCGAGCGGCAACCCGCCCAACGGCGGCTTCCTCAGCTGACTTATCTCCGCCCCATCTAGATGCTTCCACCTACCATCATATGGAATTAGTCTGAACTTATATGTGCAAACAATAGATAGAGACCAGAACTGTGCGCATGAGCTAGAGGCCTCTGCCTGGCATCAGCCACTTCACATTGAATCATAGGCTAGCAACAATGACAAGTGCCATTCTGCGTTGTTAGTCGTCCCAACATTCGCCTGTCTCACTCCGGCTGCCGATCAAAGGCGACTCCCAAGTCTTACACATCCCACGAAGTCCGAGTGGCTAAGACCAAATCGCCGTATCCACGGAGCTCTGCCCACGAAGTGAGTCCATTCACACTGGTGATGGCAACATGAAGTGGCCACAAGCGATGCACAGCGTTCCTCGGTGCATCCTTGCGATCGAGACAAGCCTAGGAGGAGGGAGAACAAGTAACGCCATAATTCAGCAACACTAATATCGGTATGACATTGACTACTACGGAGTTTCATCCGTGATATGAAAAACGCTAGTGAAAAATATATTTCACGAATACTGACTAGCGCGAGTACCGTCACTTCTCGTAAAACGGGTGAAACCCCTATGTGCATTCTGTTTATTTCAACCATGCCGTATCATGATTACACACGATGTCATACCACAACTACGACAGATTTTCGACCCAAGACGGCACCGCCGTAACAGCAGCCATATGCTCACTTCTTATGGCGAGGTCAGCATCAGCACCGCACAAATGCGTCGAGTAAACAACGGTGTAAGGCTTCCTCCACTCTTCTACAAATTCTTGTAGTAAGCCATGGAATGACAAATCTTTGAGGTCGATCACAACACACTCCACCCTGGTACTGTGACCAAGAGATTCAATCGCTTCGCAGGCGCCCCTTGAGGGCACCTTGTCCGACCAGCTCGTCACCAAGACAAAAGTAACTGAGGGATTTGACGAGCGTGAGAGCAGAAGTGTTGGTGGAGGCTCACTTCTCGTATCTGGGGATATATCATTCGAGTCAGCCAACATCTCAGCTATAGCGTAGGTGACACCAACACCCTTACATTGATACTCAACCAGGACCTGCACATAGAGCTACAGTTACTAGGTACAGAGTTCGATTCAGTACAAAATCGGCAACTCCTTTGCGAGA